AAAGCGCGACTTAGTCACCAGTTGTCATAGCATTGTTAAGAATTAATGAGAAATAAAACGCATTTCAAACGATGGCAAAATGATCGTAAGCCACATCCCTTTTTCTTCTTTGGTCATACTCTGGAAGTTTATATACGACATAAATATAAAGAATTACTTCAAGCTTAATACTAATACTTTTTTTATAAAAAACCATCTTGGTGTAAGAACAAAATCACCGTGATGATTTTTGAAATATCGGTGAAATTTTTAACGCTTTCACGACAAGATTATTTTTATTCGAATTTACTTCTTCATTTCATGTGAATGGTACAAAAATTGTGGAATTCTGTGACATAAGATAAGAAGCGTAACAAGAAACAAAACAAATCACATCACATCATATCATTTCAAACAGAGCAATAAGTGTTCACTTCATTTATACTCGATTTTAATTAGGAAAATGGCACATGAAAGCTTTTAGTAGAATATTAAACAAGCTCAATTAAATATGAAAATGTCGTGGCACAGTCGTGAGCAAATTAATTTATTGGAATTTTTATATGCTATTTGGAACTGATTTCATTTTCACTTATTCAGAATCGCAACATTCTTCAGAATCTATGAATCAGATACATCTTAAGCGTGTATTTAAAATGCAATTGCATAAGTCGTAACCATAAGGATTTTAACCGAACAAAATCTCATGCAACATTTTCTTAATGAAGTTTATCAAAAGTGAACGTAAATTCCAGTAAAATCAATAAATCTCTTAGAAAAAACAATTTGAACCACATAAATTGGAGACTTTCAGTTCCAATTATTATTGATCTTTCAAAGCGATTTTTGCATTTTCCTAAAGTAAGCATGCGAATTTGGCGCGTTTTTAGAAAGATGACTCAATATACAATTTTCGTGGTGGCCTATCATCAATTGGTAGATTGTCGTAATGCACATTAGGTTTAGTACACCAATTGGGTCAATCGAAAAAATGAAATGTAAGCGGGAAATATAACCCGTGTTATATTCTGTTTGAAATTCTGTTAATTGCGATGACATGAGCGAAAGCTTTTCTTTCCGGATTTTTTTTACCGTACCATTTCACCACCATTTTAAATAACCAGCGGCCACATGATGATTCAACCTTTCCTCTACTTCTTACCTACATTGTTTTTAGACTTTTAAGTTGCTATACGATATACATTTTTTTTATTTTGAAAATGGAATAAGATGTTTGCAATATTCGAAGGGCCATTTCGTTACCATTTGCTGAGTGAGCTTTTTTTCGTTTGTTGCGTCCAAGTCATACCGTGTTAAATGCACTGATTGAGATTATGTCATATTTGTTTTCTTTCTCCACCTCTTTTCTCGGTCGTATTAGTTCAACGTTTGTATCAATATTGGTTATATGTTTTTATCGAAGTCTCCCAACAAAAAAAAACAACACGCTAATGTGTAAATACAACAAGGCGTCTATTTAACGCATTTCATTGGTCGTGATACTGGACCTAGAAATATTTCTTGTCCTACTGTTTAAAGCAACACCGTATCCCAAACACACGAAGAAAAAAGTAGAATTTACTACGATTTCTCGTATAAATATATACATATTGTATATATTAACACAGCATGGCCTCAATACACCAAATGACATGTGTGTACGTGCGCATATCGCATACGATTGTAGAGATTCACATGGAAAATATGGCCGTTGTTCGCCGTTTTTACGATGCTACTGCTCTCTCGGAATTGTGCGAACGCGTTTCGAGATAGTAACTGTTGTGCATTTGCCCTATTTTCTTCTCATGATTCTGTGATTGCTCATTGTATTTTGATGCGCTCTCTTACTCTCTAGTCATTTCTCAGTGTGTTTGTACAACTCTCCTTCTCCTCCTCTGACACACATTTTGCCACATTTTTGCCATTCTTCTTTATATTCACTATGCGGTTGTTGTTGTTGCTGTTTTCTATTTCGTTTTTTTCTTCATTCTACTCATTTTGTGTTCGTTCCGATTTTCTCTTTTCACAATTTAGAGCAAAGTGCATGGAGTATGTGCGTGTGTGTGTGTGTGTGTGTATTTATTTTGGCACGCTTCTTGCGCTATCTCCTAGTTTGGTGCGAGAAAATGAGATTTTTTTTTCATCAAAAAACATGACTACAACTTTTTGGCGCATCCTTCAAATAATTAATCTTTACGAACGTTAATTATTGCTTTTTATTCTACGCCTACTGTCTCACTTGTCATGCAATAAAAACACATGTCAACTCTTTCAACGGCGGTTCGTTTTTTTCTGCCCTTCTCCCCCCCTTGTACTTGCATAAATCAGAAATGTGTCACATTTGTTTAGTTAACACCCAAAATAAATGTTTGACTTTTGCAAGTAAGCCTATGTGCATTGTGCATGCATGAATCTGTTGTCTGCGGATTTTGAATAAACATAAACAAAATGTAGCTGTGTTTTTGCCCTTGCATCAATTATGTGTGATCATCCGCCCTCTTTAATCGACTAACTCTCTTTCACACACACATACAAATACAACCATTGAGCTAACTAAACGAAACACGACTACCAAATATCCTATACGATGCCAAATGTGCTGTATTATGTACATTTCTCATCGTCGATAAGTGTTCTTGCGGTTGAAATGATGTTTATTTCCAATGTCCTATTTTACAGTTTCCAATCCAGTTTTTTTTTCTCAGTTGAGCTTGGCTTTCGCTCATTCTCATTTTCACTGGAACATAATATCAATCCACCCGATTTTCTTCGTCGGTTGCCATTGCCGCGTTATCTTCTCAACCATGTATGCATTATGCACACAAATGGAGAGTGAAAAAGATGGATAGAGATAGGAATAGACACACACAAGAGAGGAAGAGAGAGAGAAGATCTAGTTTAGCTGCATTATTATTATTATTACGCGCGCAACTATAACCGATTGCCAGTTGAAATACTAATTCACAATCAAACCATCATCATCTACCGTACCCACTCATAGATATATTTGGCGTTGTTCGATTATGACGTTGTGTTTACATCCTGACATTTTTTCGTCATTTTCGTTTGCCATTTCGATCGAAAGCAGTCTCAATGATTCAAAAAATTTAAAAGTCAAAACTAATCTAATTTTTTTTTCTTTGAACCGAATATTGGTTTTGTTTTGCTTTTTACCGATGAGCGCGGTACAAATGAAAAGGAGAGTGAATTTGTTTTTTTGAAGTTTTGTAATTGTTTGTTTTTTTTTAAAGCCTCACACCGAAGTGATTTCATGCCATTTAACTTTTTTTTTTTTAAATACACTCTCTTTTTCTCCAAAGAAACAGGGAAACATAAATGTAAATGTGAACTTTATACGAATAGCATAATTTAAGAAAGGAATACTTCATATTAGTAATGATCGACTTCATTGCATTTAGTGTATTAATGATTTTTTTCTTTGGAATCCATTGATGGCTCCACATATTCAACGATAACTTTAAACAAAATGAATAACAGTGTTTTCGTTTAGTAATGTATAAATGTGTTTCAAATAATTTGATCGATTTGTATAAAACAGTGCTAACTTTAAAAGAAGAAAGCAATTTATTTAAAGAAAAAGAATTTACAAGCAGAGCAGCAAAGATTTTCTAAATTTTACATTTTATACAATATATGTATTTTGTATTAAGTGTGCTATGATCATTGTCAATGTTATTTAGGCATATTAAAACAGAAATAATTAGAAAAAAAGATATGAGAAAACATTTTTGCTGAGCTTCACAAGTATTGTTTGTATAAGATTCTTTGCAAAAAAATGCACTTTGATCGCGTGAATTCCACATGGTGAAAAGCTTTAATTATAAAATTTTCCGGTTTTTCCCTTAATAAAAAATAGATATACACATTTTCATATACATTTTCAACATACATATATCATATAAGCAGGCAGAGAGATAGATGTATATATATATTTTTAACATATAAACTTCGAGATTCATTTGAATGTTTGTGTGCGCGAGAGTAAATCATTTAAATGGTGATTTGATAGCTATTTGTGATAGACATTTAATGAAACACGTGATGTTCTCATGCTGTTGCAAAAGCATAAGATACGATTTTCAAATGTAAACAAAGCAATTATTTAATCCAATAATACTTTAATATAATTATCAGTGCGCTGAACCTTAAATATAAGTTATTGGTGTCTACCAACCCTGATGAATATTATTTACAAATTAAAGCCAAAAACGGTTTCTATGTGTAAATCAATATTTTATTCGAAAAACATTGCCGACGTTTCGATTCTGTGTATGTATCTTCATCAAGGCTATTCGTTCAATATCGATTGTGTCAAGAAAAGAAATTCATTGACAACAGCCATTCAATCACCGTTCACTAGAAAAAACCGCGATGAAAGCAATCTTAAATCGTAACAAAATGATAAGATACATTTAACGAGAAACATAGAATCAAATACAATGTAAAATGTAAACACATGTATTAAATATAAGTTCTTTTAATAATTAGATTGAAAGATTTGGGAATTTCTGAGTGTCTTCCCCCCCTCTCTCTCTTTGCCTCTCTCTTTCTGTGTATACAGTTATTCACTTTGTGCATTATGTGTTGTGTGTTGTGACTTTTAAATTTTATGTAAACCGAATGAAACAGGTGCATAGATGCACATTATCTCACTGAATCGGTTTGACATCGTCACATCGATATAGTATGTGGTCAGCAACGTTGTGCACATTAGGCGTGACTAAGCCAGCATGGGGATGCACATGTTCAAACTTTCGACAAGGATTAGCTTTGGTATGACGCAAAACCCATTTGACGCTTAAAACCACTAAACATAATCAATCCATCATATATCGTTTAATTTTAATTTTCATCCTTCGTTCTCAATTTGAACCGAACGAGAAAAAAGAAATAATAATAATAAAGTAGCCATAATTCGCGTTGAATCATTTTTATTATTTAAACACACAAATTATATGGAAAATTAATGGTCTGAATCATGTGTTTAATGTTATTTTCAGGAGTCTCGTGGCAAGAGACCCTTAAAAATCTGGGACAGTTGGAGAAATGTTCGGAAAGGTCTAGTTGTGGGAAGTTTTGAAGAATTACTTGTTAGAGGTAAGTGATGTTTTATTACAAAAACAAAATAAAATAAAATGATGCAGACCTTGTACGCTCTGCTATTTTTCTCTCTCAATCTCTTTGTATATAAAATTCAATTCGCCTACATGAATGTATTCCCACGCTCAAGATCGCTTTTAAATCGCTTATCTAAACATAAACAATTTCGAAAAGTGAATTGACCACATGTTGAAACAATGAAATAATTTTAAAAGATGCGATTTTAATTTCATCGTCTGTTCACGTGGGATCCACGCAACAGACAACGTATTTATCTGTTTCTTAAATTTCAACAAAGATAAATTTAGCAAAGAATTTGTACTTTTGCATGCCAAAAGGATATCATATCCCACATTGATGTCTCGCCTCTGCATAATGCAGACAAAATATTTGTTTTAAGAGCGGATTTTTATTTTTTCTAAGCAAAATAAAGATAAATCACGAATTCAACATGTTCAAAAACAAACATTTCTTTGATTTTCAATTGATTTAGGTAAAGACAAACTTTGTGTTCCAGCCTCGGAACCGGTTCGCGTTGTTTTGGAGTGTGATGGCACACAAATTGAGGATGGTGAATATTTTCGCACATTGGCGAATAACACGGTTTGTATCGGGACAATATATAAAAATTATTATTGATTCATTTTTTAAACTTTGTAAAAACCGGCTTATCAAATAAATCAATAATGACATTCACTTGAAATCGGACATTATAAAAAAAAATGGTAACTCTTTTTTCAGGTGTTATTACTTCTTAGGCAAGGTGAACGATGGTTTCCAACTGGCGTCGATGTTATAAAAGCTGGTAGGTAGCCAATCACTTATTTATATAATTCCACCAATTGAGCAAATTACCCTGAAAAATTATAGTGTTTCAATTAAATGACAACACCAAAATAGATTTGTTTTTTAATTCAGCGATATCGGCGATCCCGCGCATTGTGTGTGAAACCATTCATGCATTAGAGTTGCACGATGAAACGCCATCCTGGAAGATCATGGATAATAAAGGTCGTGTGACCGTTGTAATGTGCTGGGATCATCATAGACAAGGCAATATTGCTGGTAGTTCCTCAGCAACGGGTAGTACAATAATTCATAGCAGTAGCGGTGTATCGAGCACGTGTAATGGTCCATTTTCATCCATACCGATTAGTCCATCGAAAAAAAGTAGCGGCATTTCAGCGCAAAGTTCAATCGATAAAATGCAACAACGGTATCCAAGTCCACAAATCACTGTAATCAATCATGACGATATACAATCAACATATGGTTCAGGCCGACGGTAAATATTTTTCCAACAATTTTACCTCTCAAAATAGTCTATCCAAAAAAATTAAACTGAAATAATGATTGAAAATTTCTCTTTTTTTCACATAGATTACCTAAGCAGGGCGGTGGTTCGTTTGATTCGGTTCATATTCATACGCCTGAGTGTTCACATCATGTGCACACGCCAAGTCGAGCTGGTAGCCCGAGTGCAGAATGTGATTTTCACTGTTGTTCATTGCACGAAGAAGGTAAAAAAAATGTTTCGAAATGAAATTTTCCAAAATCAACATCATTTTGATTGGAATTAGGTCGTGAAATAGCAAGTGTAGCTACATCACCAATTCAAGATGGAATTGTAGCAACGGGTACTAGTGCCGGTGGTGGGACAATATCAACCTCACCTAGCCAAAGACGAACACCACATCCAAAAGGTCATGTACGGTTTTTGGATATACAACAGGAACGGGAAAGTTCTGAAAGCGAAACAGAAAACACCGTAAATATATCATCAATTTTATTCTGTGGTTCATCGACTTGATAACGATAATATTGTTTGTTTCTTTATTAAATTCGGTATGAAATACCATTGTAGGTCATGGAAGACGAAACAATCACATCGGAGAAATTTTTACTGCTAATCGATCAGCTGTCGGTTGATCAAAAGCGACATTTAAATATTAAGGATATTGGTATAATATTAGAGCGTTTAAGTGCAAAAATTGTTGATGTTGAGCGCTTAGATCGCGAAAGTGAATCAGACGATTGTTACAATTGGACTATGAAAGCAACAATACGTGGTGAAGCGTTACGTGAATTAGGTGTTATTTATAATGGTAATTATTATGCAATATCTGAGCATCCAGGCTACAAAGAGGAAAACGAAGAGCTTGGCGAAGAGGAAATTGAAGAAGAGGATGAAGATAGACTTTAAGAGCACAATTAAAAACAAAACCAACAAAAAAAATAAACAAACATAAAATAAAACGAAAAAAGTTGTTCGTTTTTAGAACGTCAAGAAAATAGAAACCCACAACTTCCATGAAATTTGTTTACCGTTGATTTGAGATAAGCAAACAAGAATTAAGGAGATAAAAAATGAAAGCAACAAAAAAAAATGTTAAAAACAAAACAGAACACAGCAATCATTGGACTTTCATGTCCGATTTGACTGGACGCTAAAACAGACTCTTCTATATTTCTATGAGCGCCTAAAACAGTTTTCATACTCTAAACCATCATATTCAGTTTATCGAGAATACACATCCAAAAAAAATGGTGTGCTCACGAATATACCCAAAAACTTCCATGAACGGCAAAGCCAATTCAAATTTAAAAAAATCTTGGCCATATCGGGATGCCAAATCAATTCGAATGCACATTATTGCTACATTTTTAAACAAAACAACAAAATTAATGGAAAAACTACATTTACATACAAACGAAATTAGCCCAGACAAATACTATATAGTCAAATGAACTAAAATCAAATGTAAATGTAATTGACGATGAAAACAAAATACAAAACATAAAAAAAAACGCAACACGCAAAACAACTAACGGAAATAGAATAACAAACACGAAGAAAAACTATTAGGAAAAAAATGTCTGTTTCATGCAAATCTTCCAACACATTCCTTAAGTATCATAAATGTATTTAAACAAATTATTACTATATTTATTATTATATATAATTATATATGAAAGAGGAGATTATAAACTAGATAACAATCTCGAAGGGACAACAGCCAATAAGCGACAAAAAGCAAATAAAAAAAAAGAATGCAAAACTATTGCAAAAAATGCATAAAATGATTCTAGAATATTAGATGTTAAAAGAGTTGAGTGAGATCAACTAAAATACAATCGAAAATGTACTTTCAGTTCGATTTGTTAAAAAAAAACCAGGAGTAGATGATGAAAAAAAAAACAAGAAAAAAATGTTAAAGATGTTTTCAAAACGAAAATTACTCACGCACAAATCGTAAAAAAAGAAAACAAATAAACGAACATTAAGAAAACTAACTAAAAGATTCGGCAATTTTCGATTAGTCCTTTAAAAGACTTTTCTTTTCCACCAACATGTTGTTCATGCCCTTGATTGTTCTCACCTCATCCTATAACAAGGCAAAATCTTCTGAGCAAGTAAAAAAAGTAGAACATAATCCAAATGAATCACATCCAAACTAAACACACGGACTACAATATCATGCTCTCAGAAATATGTGAATCATAGACGGCTGGAGGTAACCAACTGGAATATGAACTAAATAAATAGATGGTACGAGAAGAGGGAGAGATGAGAGATGGCCACAAATCGAGCAAAATTCACGTAACGAACCGAGCAGCATTGTAGTCAGTGTGTGTATGTGTATGTGAAAGAGAGTTGCTCAAGGTTTATATAATAGTGTTCAGAAGTCAGAAATGGGACGATCACAAATCATTTCACAATTGGTTTACGCTTATTTCCAATTGAAATAAAGAAAAATAGCAGCAAAAATGTGTATGTGTGTGTGTATGTAAACTAAGAAGAAAAAAACGAAACACGAAATTTTATTAGCGAAAAAAAGAAATTAAATGAAAAAAGATAAAGTTTAAGTCGTTATTATTTTTGTTATTTCGAATAAGCGAAAAAGAGAAAAAATTTAAATATAGAAATAAAAAAGATAAACTCTTTACACGGAGGTTCATTATAAGGACAAAACAAATTCGTTCCCTTGTACTAGCACACACACACAAGCACACATAAAATTGGCCACATTCCAATAGCAACAACAACAACAACAAAACTGTCAAATATTGAATAATGGTTCCCTGAAACCGAAAAGCACACCATCTCACAAATTGAAAGTCTCTTAACTATATCACATATAAACACACTCTTCTGCTCTCTAGAAGCGGCATGCCATAGATAAAAAAAGAAGCCAGCACTCACAAACGAGGCCAAGTGAACATTGATATTTAATTTAAGTAAAAGATAGAAATGAAATATTGAACATGAAAAAATGACATAAACAACCAGTATTAATACACCACACGGAACGTAAATTATAGAGAAAATATCTGGAGATGGTGAGCATCAACAACAACAACACAAATCAAAGACTCACCGTCTTTGGTCATTTTCACATAAATCATATTATATAAATTTGTAAAACTAAAAACCAAAAATCACACACACACACACACAAACAAAAAAAATTAGCAAAGAGCAGAAAGAAAATAAAAATCGTTAAAAAGCTATTTGAATAAAAGTAATACAAAAAAAAAATTAAATTTAATTGATGAAAAAACTATACAATGATTCTTAGGTTGAATTCAAATAAACAAAGTATATATTTAAAAATTATAAAATTAACTACTGCCAAAAGTATTTTCCATACGCACATGAATGGATAAAACAAATTAAATTAGTAGAACAATGAAAAACAAAAAAAAAACACATACACACTCACACGAGTAACATTACTCAATTGATATTGTATTCAAAATGTAAAAAAAATGAAGAAAAAAAAACTCACATGAATATTTATTGCTCACATAAATGATTAGGCAAACATTTAACAACAAACGATGCGGCTCATTTACACTTGTTTTCGAAATTTCGTTTAAAAATTCACCAATTATGTTCGTTTTTAGTAGAAAATTAACGAAAATTGAATTTATCTCAAGCGGGCGAAAAAAGTAAACGAAAAGAGTTCATCTACAAATTGGGCGTCTATTAGAAAAATATTTGACCATTAAATATGATATTAAAATTCACCCCTTCCCCCCTCCAGACACAGAAATCTTTCAGTGATATTACAAAATCCCTTTAATATTTAAGAACATTATATTTTTATTTAAGAATGATTATTTTACCGATATGTCAATACCATTTCGCAATGAAAAATGAAAGAATTTCGATACAACAAACAGACACGTGCAAGAAATAACCCGATGCCAAGATTACCACACTTTTTGCCACATAAACAAAGAAAAGAAGGACGATCAATCAAACCAGCAAAAAACAAAATAACAAAAGCTCACTTGACATTTCTTCAGCGTGTGTGACTTTTGGATGACGTTCCTCAGTGTTTGCTCAATTTTCAATTTCATCTCTTTAGCTAAATCAATCGATTGGTTGTATTTTGGAATTGATATTTCTTTATGATACACGAAAAAAGAAGAAAAAAACACAAAACAACACAAATAATGGACAATTATAATATATTAATGTCATACACCAAGTTCACAAAGGGACAAAACCAAATAAAAATTCTACATGTCAGTGCAATATGATCAATAAGTGATGAATTAGTATCGAGGAGGATTATTACAAGCACATTTAAAACAAAAACACACATTGATATACTGCCATAGGGTTCGACACAATGTAAGTTCGATATAAACAAACAAGTGAAAAAAAATGAAAATGTTTGCAAAAATTAGCAACCATTTTATCAAGACATTTTTTTCTCGCAAACAAAAACGATAATATGAATAAAAGTGGAATGAAAAAATACATTAAAAAAACAGTAAACAAATAAATACAATAAAAGATATTTATTATATTTTGTTATAGAGAAAGAGAAATGCATTTAAAACTGAATAAAAACAAACAAACAAACACACATTTGAACTAAAATAATTAAAATACTAAATATACGAATTGCGAAATGGTAACGCTCTCGTCTAACGATACTCGATTCGATTCATGTGTACAAATTAAACGTGGAACGAACACAGAACGATGTATTATGTGACGTTTTTGACGCTGGGCGTGTAAGATGGCTCCAAATATAGTACGATCCAAAATCAAAATATATTTAAACCAGTAAATTCAACTACTAGCGAATTGTTAAATAAATCCTACCATTGATTTTTGACTATTCAAGTCACGTTAAATCGAATCCACTTGGAGTTTTTGGTTTTCGTTTGTTTTGATTATCCAAAAGTTTCTTTGTTTTTTTTTTTTTTATTAATAAAGATATGATTTTTTGTCAACATATATAGTGAAAACGAAGTTTTAAACAAAATGAAATGATGTTGAACAACTAGAAAACAAAAAAAGTAGAATTTAATAAATTTGAAAAAATAAAAATTAAACTAAAAAAACAATGTCATTAGATTTGAAGTGAGAAACAAAAGAAAAGTGAAGTAAATTATAAATGTTAAAGTTCGTATGCACAATTTTCCTCCCAAACAAATAAAACAAAAAAAGAGATCATTCATGTTATAATTTCTTATCAATAAACACAAAAATAAACTAGTTGAAAACAAAAAGAAAATATGTCGTTAAACAAGAGAAATACCAGGAACAACATAAAAAATACAGAAAATTCACTACAGTCACCGTATCGAAACAATAGAAACAACAATCGAAAACAGATTGCGTACACTGCCCACGCTCCAGCCACACACCGATCTCAATTATCGCTGCATCATAAGAAAAAAAAAGAAATACAAGAGAACAGCACACACTCACATCCACACCTGAAGTATACAAGCTCTAATCATACAAATTACATGCATAATAAACACTGAAAAAAGCATAAAAAAATAAAAACAAATAAACTTGCGAGTATTTTCAACAAAAAATAAACATAGGTTCACAAAATGGAAGTAACGAATATAGCAATCGTTCAAATGAGCCGTAACGCTGACTCGAAAAAAAATTCAATGAAAAAAAAGAACACACAAAAAAACTAGCTAAAATTTTAGAAAATTTATAAATATATATACACATGCATACAGATGAACTATTTTAGGTTGAAAAGATAAGCTCTCATATATGTGCTCGTAAATGTATTTTACGGAACGTTGAATGTTGCGCGCATGAAATTTGGGGCGGGGGAGCGGAAATTATCTACCATTTCAGTGCTTTTTACCACTTTCTATTCGAAGAATTTCGATCGATCTCAATATAATTGATAAATATGTTTGTATACAAACAATATTCGAGCATTTTTCAAATCTTCAGTGTGGTGCAGTTTATTTCATTCGTTTCCAGATTCCATGCCCGACACGTGCAACGAACCAAAGAAATATCCGTAAAACAAAACAAGTAGACATAAGATCGCTATAAATGTTCGATGGATTAGAAACATTTTAGTCTTAAATTCAATCGAACATTTATCGCCGTACCAATTGTGTGTTACCAGAGCAATGAAAATAACAACAACAAACAAAATATGATTAATAAATGAAATGATGAACAAACAATAAACTAGAAATTATTTTGCACACAGAATTTAACAAACAAAAAAGTATTTAGAATCCCCGAGTCCTTTTTATTTCCATCGAAAAGTGGAGAAAAAAAAACAAACACTAGACATTTTTTCAAAGCCATACGCAAAAAGGTAATTTCAAGAGAAATAAAAAACCGTTTTTACTTTGTTCGTTTGTTTCGAATTTTCAATTGGAACAATGAAACCAAATGATAATAAAAAAATATTTTTCAGTAAAAACAAGATATACACACAGATGAAAAACCCATGCTGATATAATAACATTTTCTTGAAATTAAAACGTTTGATAATCAGAACACAAACCGCAAAAAATAACAAATCAGATGAAACATAAATTTATCTTTCGAAGAAGATGAAAAGGCTAAATAATGGATTATAGAAAAAAAATTGAATACCATACAAGAAAACAAAATAATTACGCGTAAATTAATCTTTTAGTAAATGTGTAACCCATTCAACTAAAGAAAAAAAATCCTCAAAAATGATCAAAAAAACAAAAACTATTATGCAAAAAAAGAAAACATGGAAATAAATAAAAATACATATTTAAAAAAAAAAAACACAATAATGAACAAAAAAAAACCTAGTTACGGTTGGCGTGTAAAGTTTCTCACGAAGCATGTTTTAGTTGTTCTTGAATTTCATATTTTTTTATTATTTTGTTGTTCTGCTCA